AATCTTCCAAGAGTATCAATCGTCGCCATTGGAACCTGGTCCACTTTTTTAGGATCCTGTGATCTTTGGGATGGAATAGAAACAGAACAGAGTCACCGTTGCTGGCCAACAAAGTACTCGAGTACACCTCCCCAGTGTTTCCCCCGAAACAACATGATCTTCCCTTTGATCTATCGTCGTACCTTAAATCTAAATCATAATTAAATACAGGAATAAAAGTGGAGGTCTGCGAGTGCCCTGTGACGCTCAGTTTCAACCAGTTTTTCTTCGTTTAAAGACTGAAGAGTTCCCAGCAGAGACCGCACAGGACAACCTTAGCAAATGAAAACTCTGCCAGGGAAATTCCTCCGCTTAACTCGAGACTCGACGCGAGTTCTTCACTGATAACGATAACCTTCACGCGGGGCTTTTGTTGTTTTCCATCTGCAGCTTTTCGTCGTCCAACTCCAGACCGTAGTTGGCGATCCCTTGGACGTTGGCGAGCGGTTTGGCCTTGAGACGGACCAGAGCAGCGATAGGAGGGCTCAGCAGGTCTGGGTCGAGATCAGAGGGGTTCTGGTAGCTCGTAACGAAGCTGATCAGCACTCCCACCAGGACCGTCAGGATGCAGCCTATCGCGCTGTACCACAAGTAACTGATCTGCGAATGGTTCAAGGAATCCTTTAACACCTAGAGAACTTATAGCGACTCTGGTAAGCTTCTAAGGGAGAGATTTCGTTCTCCTTACCTTGTATATCGATGAAACGTTGTCGTCATCCTCGTTGACATGACTGGAGATAACAGTACCATTGTTGATGCAGGGACAAGCGTCTATCGACACTGGCTTGCCGTCCAAGTGGATCTGGCCCCCGAAGACGGCGACTTGGGCGCCGATTCCAATCCAGAGGACGATTATCAGGCTGACAATGGCGCCTGACACTGCTCCCTTAGCGTTCGCCCACGGCACAAACATACCCAGGGAGAACAATCCCAGAGTGATCCCTCCGACCATACCGTTGAACGACAATGCCACCTGTTACATGAATGTTTATGTATGCAAAGATATAAATCCTCGACTTGTAATGAACCGTAGGAAAGTATCCGATACCTGAAGAACGCTGCCAAGGCGTTCCACGACGAAGACCAAGGCAAAGCTAAGGCCACCGAAGAAGACACTGATCCACCTAGCGTAAATCGCGCCCTTCCTGGCTGGCAACTGTATCTTGAACAGGCCCTGAAGAATATCCTCGCAGGTGATCGCCGCCAGGGAGTTCAACGCGCTCGCCACAGTCCTGACAACGAGAGGAATTATAATTAACAAACATTTGTCTCCTAAGGCACCTCAGGTACAAATCTTTACTCTGTGTTTGCATCGAATTATTTTTAAACAACGTTAACATCACCAGTTGATCGATATATACTTGTTGATCTCTTGAAATTACCCTAAGGAGGCGGCGAAGATCCCAGCAACGAAGAAACCAGGCACACCCTTGAGCCTGCCCATGAAGTTCATCACGTAGAGTGGCAGAAGTTGATCCTGGCTGGTTATGTAGCCAGCCAACAGAGGATCGCAGTCTTTGTACGCGTTGTAGAGTACCATACCGGTCAGGAAGTTCACTGTGTAGATGATTATCATTCCAAATGCGGATACCCACAGTGCCCTATGGTAATATAAGAGAGTATGGAGTTAGGAATGTAAAGTAAGAAACGAAACAACAGCTGGAGAATGTCCTTGGGTCACTCACGTTCTCACTTGGCCGATGGTCTCCACGCTGAGGTATTTCTGGACGGACGCCTGGTTGCTGCAGAACATGGTGGTCCAGTAGATGGTCCCGCCGACCGCCACGCTCCAGAAGCTGTGCCTGACGGTGGGACTCGTGTCCATGTCGAAGAACTGCATTCTCCCAGACCTCTGGTTGGTCTCCCACACCGCTGGAAGACCGCCCTCCCAGGACATACCGTAGCCAAGGACGAGGAACAGGGAGCCAAGCAGCACCGCGCTTTGGAACGTGTCCGTCATTATGACGGCTGCCATTCCACCCTGGAACGATGGTTGCATTCGTAGCTTTGTCATAGTCTCGCCCAGAGTCTCTTCCTTGAAACTCTAACCGAATTAAACGAGATACGCACCTGGGAGGCGTAGAATATACAGACTACATAGACTAGAGTGACGGCTATGTAAGTATTCAGGCCCGTGACTGGAAGAAGAAGACTCGAGTTAATTTAAGCATTCATCTTACAGATTTCACGCTCGACTTACCGTGACTTAGAGCTAACGCTGGCGCGTACACCGCGACGGACGTGTAGAGGACCATCTGCAGCATGTACAATCCGCTCGCGAGCAGTCTGCAGTGGCGATTGAAGCGGAGGTTCAGATACTCGTAGCTGGAGGTCAGCCTGAGCTTCATAAAGACCGGCAGGTACAGGTGGGAGGTGATGGGCACGACTACGATGAACGCCAAGCAACTCATCCAGAACTGGGTCCCCTTTGGGGTTCAACAGGCGGTTATGGCGCATGAAGATATTGTTCCGAGGCTCTATCGAGCAAGGTAGCTTTCTTTTCATTATTATAATACTGACACTAATCTCTGCACTTGTTATACTACTATACTAACTAAATAGTAACTATATAGTGCAATTAATTAATTAATGTGCATCTCGATACCTGTTCATACATCTCCGCAGGGTTGCCAAGAAGTTCGACGGCGGTGATAAAGCTGGCTGCTAGGGACATCGCCATGGGGAAGGTTCCTATATTGGAGCCACCCAGCAGGAAGTCCTCGCTGGTCTCCTGTTTCTTGGAGAAGAACCCGTAGAAAGTTCCAATTAGGGACGAGATTAACAGCATCCCAGCGAGTATGACGTAGTCGACCCAGGAGAAATAATGCAGCAGGATTGGATGCTCCCCCAGGCACTTGTCATCCTCGGAGGGCCGCTGTTCCGCTGAAGACACGGCGAAGAAGAAGAACAGCACGAGCAATCGCGACTGCATCTTCCTGGAACTTTCACGAAAATCGCGTTGGGATGCTTTTATTCTTATCTTAACAATTAGTGAATTCAATACAAAAAGAAAAAGATAATAATAATTGTAGAAATATGTTAGGTTTCTTTAGATCGTTAAACCGATACGCCGATAGATTTAGCTTTAATCGATTTAGTCTGGTTAGACGAATAATCTAACCGATTGTAACACCCTTACGTAAGCAAAGTGTAACGAACTGCCTTCGATTTGAACGGTACGATTATCGAGCGTCTCGTCGCCCATTGGGCGCGTAATCGTTTAGAAAGATTTGTACAGACGTCGCGCGGCTATTAACGCGGACATTTGATCGTCGTTAAGGAATCTCGTTGTTTCTGGTTGATACCAGTTTCCGTTTAATAGACTAGCATAGACTTTGAAAACTCTTAAATGGAACTCTGCGCGTCTTCCCTACGAGGAGACTCGCAAAGACGCTCTCTGAAGTGACATTGACCGTGAACTTCAACTTCGTTTAGGCTTCAAACAGTCGCGTCTCAATATTTTTACCTCTTATTGTTTCTTTACACATGTATATAGAAAATTCAGTGAAATTTGCAACTGTCTCGACACATTGTCAACTCGTGTTTGCACTTGCATTATATATTTCAATTTGTGTCAAATATTTCATTTCAATTCGTTATGATGGTAAAATATAAGTGAAGTTCACTGGACTTTATGTAAATAATTTTATGTATGTCGCTTCAATGTAAAATTGCTGGTCAACAATGTGTTAATTTGTTTCTCTTTAATCTTCACTAATGTAGAACATCGTAAATAACTTTGGCACAGATTGATCGGACCACTTGTAAATTTACCGTACCCTTTTGCGTACACAAACAAACGTACCAAATTTCATGAGTGTTCGTCATCTACTTTGCCCGCAAAGAAATCTCAAAGACTACCTCGAAACTGGTCCAAGAGAAGAGTACTTTGACTTTAAAACTTTACCTCTTCAGCTCGTAGACACCGATCGAGCAAGCGTAGGCCGAACTCCCTGCGCCGAAAGAACAGTGTTTCCTGGAGGTATATTAGGTACTATTAGGTACTATCGCGCCCGCTTAGCCAGTAAGAACGTACGAAACTGAAGTTGAATGATCTTGCTCGTTTTCCTGACGTAACGCATGTATGCGCGATTTCAATCCTGTAGCCCACGAACGACAGGCTGAGAACGAATACGAAGAACGAACAAGTTCGGTGGAGCCACGAGAGCGTAACGACTAATTAGCTAGGAGCTTCGCGCTTCTCGTTTCGAGCTGAGGCCGAACGAATTAAGCGAAGAACGATTTCAGTCTGTCGTTTTAATTGCGACATGCGCCCATTTATACGAAGCATCCCCTTCCAGCGTGTTTCTTCCAATCCGCGGACTTGGGGAAACAACAACAACGATTACGCCGCGTGCACCAGCGACAATTGCACTGATGAGACAATGTACCCTGCGCTTGAGGAAGAAACGCGCCATTGTAGGAGACATTCTACGATCGGTTGATTAATTGTTCGCCAGGGACCTTAACGATAGTTTGTAAATAATAGTGTTCGTATAGACACAGCGAGGGTGAATGTTTAAACAGAAATTGCGGAGAAATGAAACGAGCTTCCTGAAACTGCGATCTTCCTAATTGCATCGTTTGACCCCGCGACTCGATGACTGTATTAACGCTTTCTTAGGACGCTTCTATTTTTATCAGCTTAAGGTTTTATTTACACTTGTAAAACTCGTGGAACACGGACAGAGGGAAGAGAGCGAAGCGGGGGACTCGCAGAGTTTTTCTTGGGTATTTTTCTTGGGTCAAGTGTGATCCTTACCCTTCTTTCTTCGAAAAGATCTCTTTCCTGTGGAACAGCGAACCGCAGCTTCAAGCTAGAACACCTCTCACACTCCATGAGACGACGAGGAACATGTACGAATACCTTTGCATTCTTTAAACAAACTTTTAGACTGATCTTCATTCAATGTTAATTCACGCGTGTGCGATTATCCATGTTTTCTTCGATTTCAGACGCGGTGCTAGCCGGAACTGGAGAACCGTTGACTTCGTACATTGATGCCTAACGATACGAGAGTCTTAGGAAAATAAACAGGGACGAATGAGGAAGGTGAATACCTCTTATTTTGATTATGGTTTGTGCGATAGGTAGTCTTATAGTTTCAATCATTCACGAACTGGCCTATCTTCAACGTTTTATTTTATTTCATTTCTTTATGCCACATTCGATGATTTTATGTTTATTAATAACAAAAGGAATGACGAAAACAGGGTTTGTTTAAATATTTTTGAACGAATTAGACTTGAACCACGCGCTGGCCTATAGTTTTTTTTTTATTGAAAGTTATGTTTGTAAATAGAACTTATATCTAAATGTATTAAAACCTGAAGGTATAAATTATGTCCAAGTCCTTTCCACAGAGGAAAGGGTGGAGCACACCGCCGAAGGCACTCGACACCTTCGTCCCAGATCGTGTAACGTCGCTGGATTTCTTGATGGATTAATTGCCAGTTGGCGGAGCCAACATGGAAAAGAACGGTCGAGTTTCGTCGTTGAAATAATTAAAAAGCGCCCATGCCGCCGATCGAAGCGCTGACCAACAGACAAATTGAAACTGGTTTTAACTGACCGCTGTTGGTTCTATCCGGGCTGCTCGGTTGTCTTGAGGAGCACCTTGGATCATCCTTCTTCCCTCCATCGGAGACTTCAAAGAGACCTCACGAAGACGCGTTTGTCTCTCTGTTTATTGCTTTAATCTAATCAGCTTCCGTTGAAGAATTTCAGGGCATCAATGGAGTCCAAATATCCGCAAACAGAACGAAAAATAAGGGAAGATCGTTGAACTGGATTCGATTAGATTTGACGACTCTCCTATCTCCACTTGGTGTTTGGAAATACACCTCTGGAAAAACGATCACAAAGTCCATCCCTTTACGTGAGTATAAGTAAGGAACAACTTGAATGTGACAAACGAAATTGTCTAAATCCTTAATTAACGTATCTATCGACACCAGTAACTGGAATCCATTTTTTTTTCAATAATATAATAATAGCGTTCGAGAAAGAACATTTTTTCTCTTACATCTCTTTCATTACATTGAAATATAGGAGCGTTGTTGGAGAAAAATACAAAGAAAATTCTAAATTCAACCTCACTTTAATGAAACAACATAAATTACACGACACAAAAGTACCATTAACTTAAAACAACTAGTAATAATACTCTACTCTAATATTTTAATCAATTTAGTTTCAATGTAAACTTCGACTCGACCAGCGATGTGAACAACATTAATAAATACGTAATACAATTCGTTACATTGGAATCGAATTTATACATCATATAAAGATTAGGAACGTTGTGTGATAAGTAGCATAGCGCGTAAACGTGACAATCAAGTGTCGGTATAAATTTCGCTCGGTATGTTTAAAAATAAGAAAGATACAAAAATGGCAGGTTAAAGATAATCTATGGAAGACATTTACTCGACATCTAAACAGTTGAGCAATCTATTTGTTAAGTAGCAATCCATCAAGGTATTTACGGAATGTCAACATTTAAAATAAACAAAGGCTAAGTCAAAGGCATTGCCCTATATTTTCGTGGTACAAACTTCGTCCATATTCTCTTCGCTGGCAGGCTTGTTATCAGTAAACATATACTTCCTCTGTGCTGAGATATCCTTTGGCGTTTCGTTGCTCTTTGATCTCAACGTTTGTTCGCGTCTTCGGTATATACGGTTCCTTATTACAGGAAAGAACAGATTGGGGTCCAACTCGACCTTCTCTTTCTTAGACAGCAGATTTAGGCAGTAACTGAACGATAGTCCTATCGCGAACGTTATCACGAACCCAAGTGGACCGTACCACATGTACGAGATGCGGTATAAGTAGAGATAAGTCGAGTCACCTGTACTCCTAGAACGAAGGAAGACGTTAATATCGTTTGCTACCAAGATGGTAAAAGACGGAAGAAAAAAAGTGTTCTTCGCTGTAGAAACTTTGTCGAGCTACATTTTCTCTTACTGTGCAAACGTTGTGAATGCCTTCGAAGCAGAGATGGTCGCATTATCAGCACAGCCTTCGATAGACATTGGCAAAATCGGTGGACTTGGCCTGGGATATCCGAAAGCAATCCAGAAGCAAAAAGCTAAAGCCGCAGTGGCGCTCGTCACCGATCCAATTTCTGTCGCAGTTTCCGTGAGCATGCCAAGAGTAAACAGGCCTAACAATGGCCCTCCCACTATGCCGAATATCGTCAAGCTGACCTGCAGTTATGCAATTAATATTCGTTTAATTTCTAGAGAAAGTACCTTTGGTGTTTGTTTTTATTAAACAATTACCTGCAAAACGCTACCCCAGAACTGAGCTAAGAAGGCCAGCGCTATTGAAATGATACCATACATGAAGGCGAGCAATTTGGCCAATTTCGATGACGTTGAAAGCGAAAAATCATTGCCTCGGCACATTTTACAGGCAGGTTTCAAGTAATCCTCTACTGTTACCGCCGCTAAAGAATTCAGAGCCGCTGAAATAGTGCTTAGGCCAGCGCTGAAAATGCCTAAACAGTGAAATTAATATTAACGATCATTCGTGTATTATGGCTTAATGTTATACGATAAAATTTTACTAAATACTCGGAATTATTATCGACATTTTATTTACCAGGCTATTTAAAACTACTTTGCAATTTGAACAAAATTGCAATTGTGAATAAGTTCCAGAAGGTAAACACTGGAATCAAAAAGTCTATAAATAGGCCTTGGTAAATAAAGCGTTGAGCTGGAAAGTTGAAAATTCTACCTGCAACAAAGAGACCGGGGAGTCCAGGCTTGTCAGACATGGTGTCCATAACGTACAAAGGCATCAACATGTCAGTCGACGATATTCGTTTCTTAGTAAGAGGGTCGCATCTATAATATTTGCTGTATATCGCCAACCCTGAGAAACACGTAGTGATCGAAAGTAGCGTTAAAATTGGCCAGGATATCCAGAGCGCTGTCTGTGCTGCTTTCATGTCCCTGAAATCATTACAAACACTCGTAATAAATTATTCAACGTTATATTCTTATTACACGTGTTGCAATACGTACTTGACTGTCATCATGCGTTGTATTTGGACTTGATTCACCCCATACAGCGACAAGAATGTGCACAAACCCCCGATAATGAGCGACCACCAAGTGTGGCGCACCGTAGGGTCTACAGAAATACTATAAAACAGTATTTTTAAACCAGAGATTCTCTGACTAAATTGTTCGACTGTGAGTTAGCTTACCTGTCGAACTCGATTCTGTGGCCATCCTCCGCTATTCGCCAAATGTTCTCTAATCCTCCAGCTTCTTTAGCGGCTGTGCCAATGATAATAAAGACAGCAACGAACATAAGCAGTCCTTGAAACACATCGGTTATTAGCACAGCTTTGATGCCTCCTATACTCGAATACATGGCGCAAACAAGCCCGATTATGATAATACTGGCAGTTTTAGAAATTCCCGTGGTGGCTTCTAACGCTAAAGCAGGGGCATAAAGCACGACGCCTGAATACAAAAGTAGCTGAACCCAATACACGAAACTAGCCATTGTCCTAGCTTTTGCTCCAAAGCGTTTCTCTAAGTACTAGAAAAAACAATGAAACTTTCAAGTCTAAATTCGTACTTCACAAGAGTTTCTGTCAAGTTTACTTGTTGCACAGACCTCATAGGCACTTGTGGCTTGTAGTTGATAAAATACTGGTAAATATCCATAGCAAACCAGAGGTGTTCCAATCAGGTACGATATGTTGATTGCTACAAATTGTGTTCCATACGTGTAGTTCTCAGCAGAAACACCTAATAGCGTGATGGCAGACATGAAGGAAACTACCAGGGCTATTGCCACAGGTACTATGCTCATGGATCGACTGGCATTGAAATATTCCTGTTGCAAATGTAGCTTTGGTGTCAAAGTAATCTAATAATCAATGACTTTTTATAGAGAAAGGAATACATACCTCCATTGTCTTTTGACGTCCACCAGTGAATCGATAGTAAATACCGATACCTATACTTATGACCAGCGTGGCTGCTATGACCATGTAATCCTCCCATTGCAATGTACCTGATTCGCTCATACTATCGGTGGAACAACAATTAGTCTCGTGTCAGGTATTTGGACGGATCCGCATAGATAAATCTGTAAAAGTTGATAATCTTTGGGTTTGTTCAATAATACCAGAGTCCTAAATGTACTTTTCAAATTTCTATTTATTTGTTTGAATTTTTGTTTAGCCTGTAACTTGAGAATGGCTTAATTGCGTACACATGTAGGGATTGTTCACTTTTAATTACTGTGACAGATATAACAGTTAACTTGCTACTCTCTAACGAACAGTAGAATTTAATTTTCTTAAACTGATACCAACAGTTTCGCTAGCAACACTTTAATCTATTGCAATGTTTACCTATATTAGTCTCTTTTACTATACCTCCTATCTTTATGGTGTACCTTGAGCAATATTTGCTAACACCAAGGATAGAATCAAGATCATTGTAATAATTTGACTAGGCTTAGATTCATTAGTTATCAATAGTATCTAAGAGGTCCAATTATTAATAATTAACTCGTACAAAGTGTACAAAACTTTTGTGAATCAACAGGTAAAGTTCACATCATTCAAATACATACATAATTAAAATGATACATGACAGCCAATCACATCAATTTCGATAGTATTAATAATACTTCTTATCGTCTATAAATCCATTTACAATTTAATCTTCTAATAAATCTATTTACAATCAGGCTTACATGATCTCACGTACAATTTACAATTGTCGAGGTGACATATCACTATTTACTACATTTACAAATTCGCTTTGTTCAATTCCACCGACAGTCCGGTGTCTGCTTATCTATTACTAAGTTTCTAGTGCTAATTTACTCTTTCGGCTAATTGATATCGAACGATCGTTACACGTGGATAATAAATTTTATTAATTTATGCTTACTGTACGTTGCTAACTTACAGTAGAGGGGGAAGGCGATGTTTTCGAACGATTAACGAAAATATTTCAACACGCTCCTGCTCGCCACGACTCGCATCGTCGGTCTAGTCGGGTCTTGTCGATTCCTGAACAATACTAATCAATTCAAGGTTCGTCTAACGTTTCTTTGGTGTGCAAAAACCTTGCCATCGTCGTGTGAGTGCGAGTAGAAGAGGAGTGGAGGCTAAAGTAGGAGCAGGGGCAGATTTCACCCGTTCAAATCCACGTTGACCGCGAGAAACATGTATAACTTTGTATTTCTCAAACTCTGTGATACAATTGTTGCGCGGAAGGATTGGTAGGGTTACAGGGAACTCGTAAAAGCAAAGTGGCATAGGAAATATAGTATACAATGCATTTTTTGTATGCTGAAATAGGTCAGAGATATTTTAGGCGCCATTTGGTGTATTCGGATTATCGCTCCGTGAGCGCTCACGGTGGCTCACGGTGGCTCAACGATGACTCCAACGCATGCGCAGTGGCACCAGTAATGGCTGCCGCTCATGCAGGAAAGTATCTAGTAGGGCGCCTTAATCGCCCCCAAAGATTGATAGAAAGATAGAAGAATTGTCATGAATCATCGTTGCCTTCAGGGGCTGTAGCTATGTTTAATTATTAAATGTAGCTATAGTATATACGGATTTAGCGATCCCGAGGTATCCAAACTAAGCGCAAGGGATTGGGGGCGGGGGTGACAAATGTATAAAAAAATGTAAATGTGAAAAAAAACACATGTGCGCGAGACTGGTGAATTGTAAAAAACAAGCCTGGGTCAATAGGTACCCTTGTAAAATAAAGAAACAAATCATCGTTTCCTATACCTGTAGTACTGCCAGTTGGATTTAAAACTTTTACTGTAGCTATAGGAAACGATGCCTCGTCCTAATTCTGTTATATTTATATCGCAGACACTGTTAAGCGATTCTTGGATTCTCTCTGCATCGACCGTCTATTCAAGCCTATAGTGCCTAGTCACTTCGATTAGAGGAATCCAAGAGAATCAACACTTGGCTTTGCTAAATGTGCACCCATTCTGTGGGGTGACCAAGGCGCCTGTTTCATTGTCGCGATGGATACATTACTGACGCGAGAAGTACTGCGCTTGCGCGTCGCTGTACGTTTTCCCTCCAAAACATGGAAACCGCTCACTGTTATCAGAAAAAAATTCACCCGCTCGCTTAGCGCTCCCAAAGCGAATTAGTAACCCTTCCAGCTTCTAAATGCACCCATGCATCTATTGGAGTGTAAAGTACACTACAGCGCCTAGATCTTTGATTACATAACTATGTTAATTGTAATATTTACGTAATATTTTACTCTCGCACTTTCGAAACTCGAATAAAACTTATCTAACTCGTAAGTTCGAGGAATTGACGAAATCTTCTCGATCAAGACTACGTGTCGTCAAGATAGCAGCCTTGAGTGGCAACAGAATTTTCGAAAGGAAAGTGTATTTGCCAATCTCGACTCTCTCTTCGTTAGGTAGCTTACGTAACGTGTAATCAACACTCTATTTATATCTTAGATGTCTTTATCTAATTAATTACGATGTCAATGAGTTCAATTCGACTATGAGAAGCGTACTAATCGAGCCAATAATGTCTGATTCGGAACAATTGATTTTCAAGATATACATTATACGCGATTTAGTACTGTACGCTACGATTTTATATTTTCTTAATTAAATTTAATCGAAGTTGTTTCTTTAATCCATGAACAAACGAGTAGTTCGATTACGCGATTTAAAAGCAAATTGTATAAATATAGAACTTACAATCAGGTGTAGAAATAATGACTTGACAAATTCGTTATTTGTATCATTAATAAAAGAAAGAAAAAAGAGGGAGAAAAAATTGATATAATTGAAATATAAAATTCATTATCCTAGACAACTTTTTACTATACATGTTACCGCGTTGTTTCGATTTATACGACGTCTGATAAAATTATTGCTGTTCTTACCCACTTTAAAAGTTCCCGCAATTCGTGTTCGAAATGAATGTGATCACGTGACTTGATACATCGTCTCCAATCGTCTCCATTAAAAATGGCGGATTACAGTGAGAAATGTGCTGACGATTGTTCGTTCGATTATAGCGAGGATAAACAAAAAGGCGTATGTTTAATAAAAGCAGAGTAAGCTATTATTATCGTGCTTGCAATAATTAATCATTTGCTCGAGAATTATTCCTATTTGTAACAACTGCGTGTTTTCCTAACCTTGAAATGCAGGTGTCACATGACTTTCTATCGCTAAAAATTAACCAATTACAATGTTTTGCCACGAAACACAACCCATTTGTTATTATTAATCGCGTGGACGTACACTAGAGCCATGCTAAAATTATTGTCACGCTCGTGTATTTCCTAACCTCGATTCTCAGGTGTCACGTGACTCTCTGTCGTAAGAAAATTATTAATTATAAAATTCTCCCATAAAATATAAGCTATTTATTATTGTTAACTACATGTTAAATACTATATAATATTTGTCAACTACTATCGTGTAGTAAAGCCATGATAAAATTGTAGGTATATCCTCGAAGACCATGTAAGACTCTTAAGCGAAGAGTGTTTAACGAAAAGCGACAAAGAGAAGGTTTCCACCAACACAATTATCTCTGAAGATCCTTCTTTGTCAGCTGAACCACCATGTAAAAAATATAAACATGACAACAAGAAGGAAAAGCTCAGAGGTCAGAATAAAGCCAGACCAGCTCCATTTAAGGCACAGCGCGAGTTGAACCTGTGCCCATGGATAGCAGATCAAACGGTAGACGAACCTGAAAAACAATGCACTAACAAACGATGTACATTTTTGCACAACAGGATGGAATATTTAAAGATAAAGCCAGAGGACATTGGAACGGAATGCTATCTTTTTAATTTGACTGGCAGATGTCCTAGAGGTGCAGCCTGTAGAATGGGCTCTAAACATTTGACAGAGGATGGTTTAAATATCGTCAACAAGGAAAAGGAAGAAGAGTATCAAAAGAGGCCATCCTCCACAAAGAACCACATAACGAAAAGCCTGCAAATGCAACTGCGGAAGTACAAGTATAATTTCGCTAAAGCTGAGAAAATAGTTAAGGCAAACGAACCATCTAGGAAGAAGCTGGACAATGCAGACAAATCAGATACAAAGAATGGCTGTGCTTCGGAATCTGAGCAACCTTTGGATGCAAACAAAGCAGAAGTAGAAAATGGTTGCACTTTGGACACTAGTATTTCCAAATTTACAAATGAAACACCCGAGATACACAATACGGAACAGAAAATTGGCCCAGTGGAGGATTATGACTTGATCAAATGTAGGAATGAGGAGAAGAAGAAGATAGATTGGAAAAATAAAATAGTTCTTAGCCCTCTGACGACAGTAGGCAACTTGCCTTTTAGAAGAATCTGCAAAGAGTATGGAGCAGATATAACGTGCGGCGAAATGGCTCTGGCACCGAGGATACTGAAAGGAGCTCACGAAGAGTGGGCGCTGGTGAAAAGGCACGAATCGGAGAACATCTTTGGCGTACAGCTATGCGGTAATAATCCAGGAGTACTGACGAGGTGCTCTCAATTGTTAACCGAGGAAATCGATGTTGATTTCATCGACTTGAACCTCGGTTGTCCTATAGATTTGATTTATCGACAAGGAGGTGGCAGTGGTATGCTCAATCGATTAAATGTCCTAGAAACCGTTGTAAAATCTGTTAGCCAAGTCATGAACATACCTCTAACTGTAAAAACTAGGACTGGTGTCTACATAGACAAACCTGTTGCACACAACCTAATGCCAAAGTTTCACAAGTGGGGTGTGTCCATGATTACTGTGAGTAAGTTAATTACTGCATTATGTTATTATGCTAGAACGCATTAATATATATGTGTATTAAATTATATAATGTGCCATTAGGTTCATGGACGATCTCGCGAGCAAAGATACACGAGATTGGCTGACTGGGAGTACATTGAAAAGTGTGCAAAAGCAGCCCAGCCAACGCCAGTATTCGGAAATGGCGATATTTTGTCGTTTGACGACTATCAAAGAGTTCGAGATACTTACTCCAATGTGAGTGGTATTACCATAGGTCGTGGGGCGTTAATAAAACCATGGATATTTACAGAAATAAAAGAAAGAAAGTTGATTGACGTGTCGAGCTCGGAGAGATTCGACATGTTAAAGAAGTATGCCAATTATGGTCTCGAACACTGGGGCTCGGACACCCGTGGTGTCGAAACGACGAGGAGATTTATGTTGGAATGGATTTCATTTTTACATAGGCAGGTTCTTTATAATTAGTATTTCATTGGTTAATAGATGCGTAATTTTATTTCAAATAAACAATTAAAAATTCTGTTTGTATGCAGATATATTCCCGTTGGGATTTTGGAGAGACCCCCGCAAAGAATAAATGAGAGGCCTCCGTTTTATCGAGGTCGCGACGACATAGAAACGCTTATGGCGAGTTCGAACTGTGCCGATTGGATTAAATTATCGTAAGGAAGCTACTCGTTATTAAAGGTTGCATTCGAGACACTATTTTAATTCTGAGCATCGTTATTATTTTCAGGGAAATGCTACTAGGAAAAGTGCCCGAGGGATTCCACTTTTTACCCAAACATAAGGCGAACTCGTTTAAATAACCAGGGACAATAATGTACAATGAATTATTACGAAAAAAAAACAGAATACTTTTATATGAGAACCTTTTCAAATAAACAGTCATCGAATGGAATTAGTTTTTATAGGTGGAAAATTACGGAACGAACTCTCTTCCTTTATTAAGCATACGTAGTCACGCATAAACAACGAAATCAGTCGCATACATTACATGAATTAAATAAAATAAAATAGATAACAATTACCATAAATACCGTACACTACATAAATATTACAATTTATAATTTGCACAATGATAGATCTGTACTTAAGACGAAATGTAAGTGCCATTCCTACTTTTCATTCTTATATCGTTAATCCCTGGTCTAACTTAATCCGACTCGTGGAATAATGATCGGTTATGTCTCCGAGAACAGCCTCTGGCCACATGCAGTCGCAACCGCTAGCGATCTCTTTAACGAAAGGTTCCCAACACTCGCTGTCCCAGCGTCGTCTCACCAGAAACAGAGGTCGACCTCTTTGCACACAATGAAATCCAGGGTGCACGCATTTCTAAAAGAGCACGTGAAAGAAGGACGCGTGAGAAACACTCGAAGAGGTTGGTAATCCTCCGTGATTAACCCTTTGACTGCGAAGGGTGCACATACCCGTCCTCGATATTTTTTTACATTTACAGTTTATTTGTAGGACGCTTAGTTTCGAAACTAAACATTGAAAAGTTAAAAGTTCGTCGCGAAAATTAAATTTCATGAGAAAGTTCCAAGTTTTCAATTATATTCGCGTCAAACTAAATGAAAATTTAAAATCTTCCAGGTTTGAAGTTTTGCTGGCGACGATTCGCCAACCATCGAAAGTTAAAAATTGACGAATTGTCATGCTGAAGAAGAAGAAGAAGAAGAAGAAGAAGAAGAAGTGAACGTTATTCCGCATCTACCTGCTTCGGTGGATTCGTGACGAGCTGGCTATTGTCGAGGAAAGAATAATTCTTACAATAGACCTCGTAATAATGCGGCGGTTGGTACTCGTAGTCGGTATCGTCCAACTGCACTTTTCTCTTAACGGTTTCGCAAAGATTACGGTAGCCCTGTGAAGAAAACCGTCAGAAATGTCATCGAAGAAAACGTTTATTTCTCGTTGGCTAATACAGAACCGACCGACAATAAATTTCTATTATCTCTATTCACGGCCTGGTGTTCTGGCTGCTGCTTCTCTTCTTGGTCCTCAACGTTGTTTTCTTCGGGTAAGTAGGAGACGTCTCTAACAAGAGGAAGGCTCTGACGAAGCTGGAAAGAGTTTCGTGGCCCGTCGTACGTTTTTGGCATACCGTAGTAACTAGAGTTGCATCTCTTGCAGATTGCAATGGCCTCCTGCGTCATCATCGCGAGGGTAGCCACCTGGAAATCACAGAAAGAAAGCAGGTAACGAAACTGGAAAGTCGTGAAGTAAAGCTATGGCATCGAGATACGAATGTGGCTTGCGATAAGGAATACTGAAAGTCAGAGGGTTTAAGTTGCGAGACACACAGTCCATCAATAATCGACGATCGTTCTACCGTTTTGTCAGTTACATTATTAAACGACTGATTCACTCCACTTCCATTCCCACTTGGCAGAACCCTCCACGCGCGATTTATGCTTTATCAAGTTTGATAGGTCTCCAACACTGACTGAGACCTCCGTCGAAGCTTGAATTTGAACGATGACGCAACACAATGTCACTAAATACGATTAAAGGATAGCGCTGTCATCAGGAACGTTGCAATTCTCTCTTGGCTAAATCGAAGAGCCGGCTTCTTCTTAGACAAGATAATTCATCGAAAAAGAAGCGAACCTTGAATTAGGCCTGAATGGTCCACTTTGCCAATCGCTTTCTTTAGTATACTCCTCGCGTTGTAACTGCCAAATGATTCCATAGATTTTCAGTGTTCCTTTAATTTCCAGGCGGAAGTCACGGAACAAATCTGCGAAGGATCGTTCCAGTGATTTCAGAAAATTCGTTAAATATCCAACGAAACGAGGATCATCATCGCGAATGAGACAGTGACGTCAGAAATCAGCATAAAGTGTTGACGAATCTTTCAAGACAACGACGATCCCGCGAAAAACAGAGCCAGCCGGCAAGGTCGATCGTGATTGAGCTGACGTGCTTCGCGTCGTATGATATAAATTAGTCTTCCCCGTGCCGATCGCTACGATTCGCCTTCGAGCTAGCACGATGTAGTATTAGCGAGGAAAAACAGGGTAGCTCGTGTCTTCCAATCCAACATAATCCCACGCATGCTCTACGAGAGCAACGTTCGTTTTTTGGTATGCGTGCGTTGCTCGAGGCCGTTATCTTTCATTATTACTAGACCGTGGATGTTCATGTAAATTCATATCTTTACAAAGAATCGAATGTTGAACGAAAGTATGTCTTATCCTGTATATAGCATGTATATTATCGTTGTTGTTTTATATATTTCGTGAAACTCCCACGCGTCACGGTACCTAAGATTTATTCAATAATCAGGACCTGCTGCGAGGCAACTGAAATTAAAAGCGAATTAACACTTTCAGGAGGTGAATGGAGAGCCAGGAGGGGGCTGATCGGATCTGAACGATATCAACGCGTATTCTCCACGCGGTAGGTAGTTATCCAATTGACAGTGCCCCCGTCTGACATAGTTCAGTCGACGGCGAACTCAGGATGATCCGACTGCGTCTCTGGCAACAGTGACGTTTCTTTGCCCGACGAATTCCGTTCCACCGCGTGTTCGAGCTGGCCAGAGACCGATCGCGGAGAAGGATCTCGCGGGAGATGTCGATTTCCACGCGAAACGAGAACGCGATCGCGTTTTGGGACCGCGTTGCTGGTCCAGTGAGAACGAAACAGGTCAAGGTCGACCGTTGTCAGTGAACTGGTTCTTTTTCCGAGCGCCGAGAGACAGAGAGATTAACCAGGAATCGACAGGCACTTCTGAAAGACAAACGCCATACGGGGTGGGGAGATGCGAGTGGATCGCTGCAATTGACATGGCAGCCGATCTCTACTCCAATGGGACCGTCAAGTCAACGTCCGACAGGTGAGATAAATTGATAAGGAGACTGCGATAAGGTAATGGTCTCTCGATGCCCCTTGTCATCCACTCGACTGTTAGGTATCAGTGGAAGCTGAAATTTATCCGCATTGTGCTTTAACGTTATAGGTGAATTGGACCAGGCTGTAAATAATTTCAAAGAGGTTCTAGAATCCTCTTGTATACTGCTTTGGAGTAATCAATTAAGGAGAAGTTACAACGAGAAGTTGATATAAAAGATACTTTTGGATACTCTACGATTCATTTTTTGTTGTTACAGTAGGTAATGATATTAATGAAGGAAGAGTGGTTGCTGATGGTTGGTCTTGGAATGATTCATGGAAGAACGTGGCCTAGCGTGATTTCCCTGCTTTTTTTTTATTGCAATATTCATGACAATGAAACGGTTTAATAGCCGTTACGGTTGCTCGAGTTAATAACCAATTGACCCTCGACCGCTCGAGCAGAGGCTCCATTGATGAGGAGCGCCGTTAGCGAAAACTCGAACGATAGGCAGGTTGAAATTTTCATTTGTTTGTTTGTCGCCTTCTCTGGAATACTCTGAAGGAATTGGCGACGGTGCGAGAACCTTTGTTCAAAAGCACGCCTATAAGAGCACACGTTTATCATCGTTTAATTCAGAATCAAATTGTTTGTTTGTCGAAACGTGTACGCCACTTGACTCTGTCTCGATGCAAAGTCATTTCAATAAATCTACATGGCGTCGAGAAAATTCGTGTCAGTAATGATCCGTCTATTCAAAGAAACATGTGATCATCGGGAACGATAGATTCGTTGGAATGGAATAGTGCTTTCGCGATAGAGGCTCGTAAGGCTTCAAGGAGAAACGTTTGTCCGTGAGTAAACTGGAATCGATGCCAACTGAGCACACAAAACCATTGTATCTAGACAAATTTATCGAGGCGCCAATCGTCACGCCGCTCGTTTTTCCACGTTTCACCTAGCGCGATATTATCTTAATTTTTCTATTCTATTTCTTCGTTCAAATACGTTTTGATGATACAAAGTTTCGTCTAGACATAATATATAATAAGACATAACATAAAGGAAGTTCTCGTAATTGTTATCAAAGAAAAACCTAAATGTAAACAGACTCCTGGTTTAATAACAATAACACTCGACGCGATGTCCTGTTTCGTTAGTTCTCGACGTGTACTATTCGTGAACGGACGTATTAAATGTCTCATTTCCTCAAATTCTCTGAAATGTACCGCAGCGACTCGCACGATCAACCATTCTCTTTTCAACGATCCAACAAACTTGAAATTTCAACCTTCCCATCTCGATTATAATCGCTGTAAACATCTTCATCCATAAAGCTCGCAACATATCGTCTAAATTTATCGTCAAGCTGAGATTCACGTTTGAATTAAAGATCCCTCAATTGGAGCAGATACGTATCGCGCCGGTTGATTCGAGTTTAATGGTAGAATCGAGTGAATGGCATTTTTAAGTTAACAAATTGTGCAACAGTGGAGGAACGACAGAAGTCAGGCGAGCACGCAAGCATGAAATTGCGAACGGGACGCGGCTCGTGAACGGGAACGATTCGCAGAGAAGAGGCTATTAGACTCGTTTAGTTTAGGAAATCAATTAGATTCCTCGGGCCAAATGGCAAGGACGCGCCGAGAATTTCGTACGAAAGTTTACGCGGCGTGTTTACCATAGTTTCGATACGGTGCTCGTCCCACATCGCCAGCCACGAACCACCAAGTGCTCTAATCATTCTGTTTTCCACTTTGCAAAACTGTACGCTATATTTCTCTTTCAATCTCCAAGTGATTATGGCTCGACGCAGCGCTGGTGCAGCTTTGGCTCTCGGAAACATTCCAATTTAGAGATCAGAGACTCTTTCTTATAGTAAATAGTTCAGCTTTCTGTTGTAAAAAGAGATCAACATTGTGTATCTTATATTTCTCTAACGTATGGCAACACGTGAGGCAATGGTAGATAATTTGCACAATTTCTGTGGAGCAATGCAGAAATATAATTTCATTCCACGACATTGTAAATATT